CCCACCCCTCAGATACCAAATCCAGGAATGCTCAAGGCCCTTATATGAAAATGGCTTAGTATTTGCATATAACCTACACACATCCTCCTGTATTCTAAAAATCATCTATAGAGTACTTATAATACCTAATACAATGTAAATGCCATGTAAATAGTTGTTCTACTGTATCATTTAGGGAATAATAAGAAAAAAAAGGTGGTATGTACTCAGTACAGATACAACTGTCATAGGCCTAACTACATAGTACATGTCAGCAACAATATAACATTTTAAAAAAATATTTTCCATCCGGGGTCAGTTGAATCTGGGTGCAGAACCTGCAAATACAGAGGGCCTGCTGTATTCAATGAGAATTTATTGTGCCCTCCAGAGTAGTAAACCTTCACAGAAATTCAAGGCAAGAGTAGTTTTAGGGAGTTTACAATTTAATTGAAGTAAAAAGGTCAATGCACAGGAGATAACTAGAAAATTATTTGAAATATGAAGAAGATGCAGGTTCAGTAGTAATAGAAAGTTAAGTAAGATTGGTGGGCCATATCCTGGAAATCCTCTGAAGAGAAGCAGGAATTTAAACTTGAGATAGTACACACTAATGCAGTGATTAAGCAGAGCTTGATGTCCCCAGCTAATAGAACTGTGTTCAAATCTCAGCTCTACCATTTCCTTGTTGGTATAACTGTGACCTTGGGCAGGCAGCCTAAGATACCTAATCTCATTTTCAGTACCTACCTGGCACCTTACATAGTTATTACAATATTATTGCCTAAATATTTTTTTGAATGGAAAAAAAACAGAAAACAAATAATAAATTTTTATGAAACAATCACAGCAAAGGAGAAACTATTTACAAATAAAGGTACAGCTGATACCTATGTTATTCATTCTGTTTAAATGAATCTAGTGTTATCTAAGAAAGGCTACTGGTTTCCAATAAAAATCTCTATTGGTTTTGATGCAGGTCACTATTTTGCAATTAAACTAGGTCACTGTTTTGTAATTGCTCCTTTTTCTAAGTGCTTGAATGTATCAAAATGCCTTGAATTTCCTACTTCTAGAACGTGCCTCTACTGCATTATTTCTAACAGCTGCTAGACTTAGCCTGAAGTCTTTAACTCTTTGAAAGAATAAGTAATTTATAGCACTATTATTAAAATTAAGAGTTTATCTTGAATTAAATTATGAATTAAATACCATATATTTCAAAGATAACATGTAAAAAACCTAAACATTCTTTTAAGTGCAAAAACAAAGTTTATGAGAAGAAATTTATTTTAAAAGTGAACAGAGTTTTGAAACTTCCCCAGCCTCTACTTACGAAGATTGTGAAATTTTTCAAAAAGAAAATATAAACTGCTAACCATCTCTTAGTGCCATTTTCACTAATTTGCAATGTCCTGCAATGTGGTGGTGTGTTGGGAGCCGGTGACGTGTCTGGACATGGTCCACGCCACCTGAGGGTCTGGAGGCAGGGACTCCATCCTCCCCACAATGACCCTTGATATTGAGAGCCCTCTACGTGTCCGGACATGGTCCACGTAGCCTGAGGCTCTGGAGCCAAGGACTCAACCCTCCCCGCAGGTTCCTGTGGGGAGCCGAAATGAAGATAGTTACAAAGGTCTGAGCTCACGCAGGAGACAGGATGTTTACGCTGAAAGTGTGTTTGTGCAGCCTGGGAAGAACTTTGTATCACCCTCACCTCCTTACCAGTTGTTTGTTACTCACTATATACTAAAGGCTTGAAGCCATTTGAGGCTGCACCTCATTGGAGGGCAGCCCTCCTGACCCCATGACTGTGTTTGTCTCTAATTCCCACCGCTCGACCTCAGGTTTGTTCATCTTTCAGGCTGGTTCCTGACAGTGGTGCATCACTTGGAAACTTGTTAAAAGTATAGAAGCTCAGGCTCCACCTTACGAACCTGCAATTTAACAAAATTCCCCATGTGATCTGCATGCACATTAAAGTTTAAGAAACTCTGCCCTAGTAACTATGTGAAGGCAGGAGACATCCCCAGAGTAGCGCAGTGCTTGAAAGGAAAATGAGTGAAAGCCTTTTAAAAGATAGAGATGATGTATCATACAATTGTACACTTGAAACCTATATAATTTTATTAACCATGTCACCTGGATAAATTTAATTAAGATAAATAAATAAAATATTTTTTAAAAAAGAGAGGAGAATTGAAGTGCTGGATGAGCTGAGGCTGAATAAACTGAATAGCTCATTGTCTGTTGATGCCTCTCCTTGGATGCCCCACAAATACATCAAATGCTTATATCCAAAAGTGATCTCTGCATCTTTTTCTCCGTACTTGTCCTCCTTTATCTCCTATCCTGGTAATATCACCAACGTCTGTCTACTCACTCACTCTATACTAAGTCTCAGCCTCACCAATTTGCTGTGTGTGACTTAGTCCAAGTTATATTCATTCATTTATTCATTCAACGAATATTCACCAAGCACAAACTTCATGTGAGATGCTGGGGACTGGAAATAAAGTGGTAAAAAAGAAAAAGAAAAAACACGGAAAAGGCTGTTAAGCTCACGGAACTCACGATATAAAATTTCAGTTTTAAGTAATGAATAGACCCTTCAGAGTGCATCAGGCACCAATCAGGAGGGGGAGGGAATGGGGAGGTTGGAGAGGTTGTCATGATAGGGAGATTATACATGTTGGATTTCAAGTAAGATTTCATTTGAAGAAAGGATTTAATGGCAAAACAAAAACAACAAAAACAAAACCCTCAAAAGTTGAATCTTAAGATCTTTTCTGGAAATGTGATTTTATATATAGTCTTTGTATATTGTTTCCAGAATTTAAATCAGGATTTTTTATAGACACCCTGATTGATCTTAGTTTATTTCAGTGTTTAAAAAGACCCATGTACAGTTCAGTTAGATGACTACGATGCCCTTGTTGCATAGAAATGAGGTTTTCTAATATTTGTCACATAATGACTGGAAGCAGGATATGTGACTGTTTAGACAAGTTGTTATTCCTATTTTCATACATGACAGCACTAAGACTAGGTCATGGATTTTTATTTTTGCATTGCAGACTAATACATAAGAAAAAGAAAGGAATACAGCATTTCACTAGACTTACTTGAGTGTGAAAGAATAGAAAAATTATGTACCAAGAATGAGCCTGTTGTTAGGGGAAATACCTATACTCCACTCTTCATGTTTTGATACAGGGAAGACTTGAACTCTACGACTCAGGACTGAGAATATGAAAGTAACACCTCTCTCACCTCCCACTGGTGAGGTTAGTGACTCACCCAATTTGTTAATTTGGGAATAGGAGCTGAGCATGCTTGACCCAGCACCTTTTGGATCCTACTGGCAGAGGGGGCTCATTATGAGACGCCTCCATTGTGCAGTAATGACAAGTGCAAACACATGCATAGCACTTAGCTGTGTGCCAGCTACTATTCTAAGCACTAGATAAATCTATTTCATTCTTCCCACAGAATTTTTTTAAAATATGTTTTTATTGAGTTTAGAGAGAGAGAAAGGGAGAGGAACAGAGAGAAACATCTATGAGAGAGAAACATCGGCTGCCTCCCACACACACCCCGCAGGGACTGAGCCCACAGCTGGGGCATGT